TTTGATCCAGCAGGGTCCGATCCTTGGTGGGAGTGGTGTACTTGAAGAGGTTCTTGGTGACTAATGGTGAGAGCACCCTGCGTTCCTCGCACTGGCCCTTTACGTCCTCTATGCTTGCTCCAAGCAGCTCGTTCTTCAACAGACAGGAATAGGCGATACCGTCACGGCTACTCTCGCCATTCTCTCGTGTCTTCTTCGCCACCAGGCTACCCCGGCCATTCTCGCTAATCATAGAAAACGTCGTTTGCCAGTTATTACCTGAACGGGTGGGTATGAAGCGGTCGTAGCTGTTGTTGTACGCCGTCTTCGTGGGCGAGAAGTAGATGGGCGAGTAAGTGGCGACAGTGGTGCCGGGCAACGTCGCCGTGCCCGTCGCCGTCGAGACGTCCGCGCTCACCGGCTTCAGCAGCCGTTTCTCGTACTCGTGATGGAACATGACGCGACGTAAGGGATACGTGTTCCACCTTTGCCGCACCAAGAGGCAATGCTCCTTATCTCTTTCACATAATTAACGGCACCGCCGACGCACCTCCCGTATGCACTGCCGTCGAGAGACCGTAGGAGCTCACTGCGACAACTCCGCAATCGATCCCCAGGCCTCGGAACACGTCACAAGCTCATCCCCGGATGCTTAGCCACTCCGTGCTACGTTCCGTTTAACTTTTTCGGACGGTTTGGGGTCTGAACTTGCTGGCCACCGTCCGTCGTGTTAACAGCCTTGCCGTCGCCATTCGACGTCAGAACTCGCAGGATTCGAGAATCGAGGAGCTCGCACGAGGTCTCGAGCGATTGCCCCGTGTCCACCAATAGAAACGTGTCTCGGAATACGAATACCGAAGAGGAAGGGAAGTCAAGCTTATCGACCGTTTTTATCCCTTTATAGTTTATTGATCACTTCACAGCACACTGTTCTTGGAATGATAATAAGTAATATATCGTATATACAAAATAATAAATACCATACAATACAATAAATTAATTGTATTGTATATACGATATAATATATTTATTATCATTCCAAAAATAGTGTAAAGTATAATTAATAAAGGGACAAAAACAGCTGATAAGATTAACTTCCCTTCCCCTTGGTCGGTACGTATTCTGAAACATATTGTATTTATTATAGTATAATAATAAATGTGTATATAAAAATATTGTATATACAATACATATATACGACAACATATCGTTTATTTGCAACTAAAATAACGACGCTATTAAAAAAAAACAAATTATTTAAATTGTTAAAATTTTTATATATTATATAAATTTTTTAATCATAAAAATGTGATGTTAATTTTGTTGTGCAGCTTTAATGTAATAACTAATTATAGAAAAATAAAAAATCGAGGATTTTTTTAAAGTATGTTTTTTTTCTTTGTGTTTTTGACAATTTTTGTTATATCATTGTTGTAACATATAAGCGATATGTAATATTATATATATTAATATTATATTATACATGTATATATATAATTAATAAATATCATTATCTATTAGCCCGATAAAAAAACCACCATTATAAAATATTACAGCCTTTTTTTGAATCAACGGTCCGTTTCAAATTTTTCTTCTCTTGTTTTTTTTTTATTCCATAATTCGAAGTGTGAATGCACTGCACGTTCGTTCCATTTAAAATGATGAATATTATCGTCGGAAAGATAAGATGATTTGATCATCGACGACTATGTATTTTCTCTATCTGCGGTAAGAGAGAAGGAAGAATTTAAGGAATTTTTGGACAGTTAAAGAACGAGTGTTAGGTAGAAATTGGATATATCGGAATATAGTTTCTGATAGGTCGAAATCGTAAATTCTTCTATTGTATGTTTGCACTCTCATATAATTCTACGTTATTTTTCCGCCTCGAATGTTGCGATTCATGCCAGTTGCAACCGCGCATGCACGAACATACCTATTTTATAAGAGCCAGTGGGTAAATGAGACTTGGGAGAGGATTAGTTAAAGGAATATAATTCTACTCGATCCTGAAATCAATCGCGAAATGGCATTTTCGAATACAAAAAGCGATACGCCATGGTGAGCCCAAAAAGAAACCCTATAATGAAGGATGAGTTCATTTGGCGCTCACAATGCTCGCCAACATTATTTATTTAACATTTGATAAACAGTAAGGATGAAACGATTTCATGAATGTTGTGAGCGTCAAATGAAACGCACCCAAAGAGTCTAGCCATGAATGGTTTCGTTAAAATCTTATGAGAGAAAAGTATATGTATATTTCTTTTCTCTCTCTCTCTCTCTCTCTCTCTCTCTCTCTCTATATATATATATAAATATATCACTCTACTCATCATATCATTTCACTCTAAGGTGCCTTCCATTTAAATGATAAGTCGACAATAATATCGTTCTGTCTTTGTTATTTATGAAATGCGAAGAAAAATAGAAACGATATTTGTGTCGATTTATATCACTAAATGGAAGACATCTATAATCTTAATTAAAGTTATAAAGACAATATAAATTAAAGGGAAATAGTATAATTTATATATGTTGCTCTCTTTCTCTCTCGCAAATTTTTAACAAACTCCTAGTTTCATAAAGTACATATTGTACATAATGTATCATTTTATCCTTATTTAACATTTATTGAATAACTACAATAAAATGATGCATCATGTACTTTATGGAATGCAATCAAAATCGTCAAACTGTTGTAAGGGTTGCTTTCTAGCAAGAAAATAAGAGGACAGTTGACGAGTATAACACAGTAATACAACATCATTAATCTTTGCTATTTGCCAATGTTAAACAAAGATGAAATATCTTTCTGGAAAGCAGCAAGGGTCTTTAGACGAGGCCAACGTGCCCTGCTTGCCCAGCCTGGCCACAGGCAGATCAACAGAAGAACCGCTAAATCAGCAGCACCAATGGGATCACGATGCTTTGCCGTTTCTTTCGAAGTCTCGTTCGTCTCGAATGAGTCATCTGGCCGGTGAGGGGAGAGCGAGAGAGAGCTTGCTCGACGTACTGACGAGAGTCATTAGGGCGCGACGCGGCACGAGAGGCTTTGTTTACCGTAAGATAAGACCAACGATGACATCGGAGAGGGGTGACATCAGGGATCTGAGCGACGTTATTCTGCAGGATAATTCGGATATCGAGACGCAGGTAAGATTGTAGGTAGAGCCAGGTAGATCTCCGGATACCGAGACATACGTATTTCGTTCCATTTAACCTTCCAAACGATCTTTACCAGGTTCGTATAGTTTCATTTTAAACGACAGCTTGACCTTCGAGATAAAAATAAATTTACACGAATAGATCCTCTCTGTAAACCCAAAGTTTTTCAGTGGGAAACGTACTGGGTTGTTTGTACACAGATATTTGTTATCACATTTCAATGCTAATCTCTGTACAAATTTATTGGATATTTTCTATAATAAAGCTTCAGATTAAGTATTGAAGAGTTTCTTAGAATAGAAAAATAAATTTATCTTGAATCTTGATTCATGTTTTTTTACTTTATTTAATTTTTAAATTACTAACAAATATTAACTATTGACATCCTTCAGAAGAATTTCTGTTTTTTTTTTATAAATTTTACAAATTTAACTCAGCTTAATTTTATTAACTATTAATTTCTAGTGCAAACACAAATTGAGTAAAAAGCCAAAGAGAATATTACAGTTTTCGGATGGAGTAATGGAGGAATATTCGTCAGAAGATGAAGTTGACGCACCAAAGACTAAAATTGTGTCGCAGATAGATACTGTAAATATATAATCATATTAATAAAAAAATATATATGTATAATATTATATACTTATTATTCAATGAAAAGATAAAATAATACATATTTTATAGAAAAATATGAATTGGTTACCATGGGCATGGTACCAAACTACATGGTTGAGCTCTAAAATGTTGGACGGTTGTGACTACGTTGGCGAATGCTTGGCCAATTTCTTTGGCATAACAGCGCCCAAGTATCAGTTCGAGATCAATGAGTTTTATAGGCTGCAAGCACTCGAAAAAGAAATGTTCCACAAACAAGATATGGAAATGGGTGGATGGAATGAACAAAATAGGAACAATCTCATAAATAGCGATACTATATTAACAAATGAATGTAAGTAATGACGTAAAGCGTCGAGATTTAATACTGATGAAACGTGTGTGTGTTACATATAACAAATTCTCTATTTTACAATCCATTTAAAATATCGCCTATACATAGCTTTAATTGACAGAGATTTACTGCTCAATTCCAAATTCATTAGCAAATTTACGAATAGAAATAATAAATGCTTGAATGATTCTTCAACTAATATTTTTCTATGCAATATTAAAGTTTTTAAAATATATAAAATAACGAATATATGAATTTATGAAAAAAGAAAGTATGTGATGTAAAACAAAAATTAAAAATTATTGTGATATATGACAGTTGAAAAGTATTTAGATAAAGCATTTAGATCCTGTAAAACTCGATGTTCTTTAAGTCCAGTTTAAATAACGATTATATGTATAAAAATTGTATATATATGAAAAGTTTTAGTATTATTCTTCATAATAATTGTTACAATAGATCGATATAATTTGTGTATATGACCTATATATATTATTTATAAGATACAGTATAGTTATATTAAATCTATTAATAAGTAATATAAAAAATATGTTACCTCATTGCGAAAGAGAATTTTTTGAACTCTGCATTTGCACATACGTCCATATGAAAATAAACAATATATTCAAACACTACTCGCTGTTACTTATGTTAGCCGTGATTCACTGAATTATTATGCAATTAACAACGACAATAAAGATAATTAATAAATGCCTTTATATTTAATAAAACAAACATTCTTTTTATAATCAAAACTTCTTAGCATAAAATTATATTCTCTCTTAATAAAATATTATTTTTCAAAAGTATCTTGAGAATAAATTTGCTAATATTAAGAAACAATACAGCATAGCAAACATACAATAATAGTGATAATATATAAGGATAAAAATACATATTGCTCTCAATAGTTTTTCCTCGAATATATCTTGAAATCCTATATGTATTACGTGTTTCATTTGCCACGTATATCGTATTTGCACACTGCAGTCGATTAAAATCTTGAACAACACAAAAGTTCGAGAGAGATGTCCTGTAAAAGTCTTTTAGACATTTGCGCTTTGTAGATTGCTCAGTATAAACTAAATATTTTGTATGCTTAAAAAGAAAAAAAAAACTTATGTCGCCGGCACAAACCTATGCAGCGCACTAGTTAAAACTAGCAACGAATCCTGGAGACCCTGTGGAAAATGTCTTTGCAACCAGGAGCCTTTATACTGTTCTATATGAGCCAACATCTTGTTTGCTATGTCGGTCCTGAAAGTGGGCGGTAGATTACATACTCCTAAATTAATAACAGCGAGTCCCATGTTGCTGTTTGGATTCACACCGACTCCAATCAATGTTCTACCAATTTTACAAGCCGTCAGCATCAGATCGGATGTTAATTGTAATTCCTGTATCTCCATAGACGCGAACTTGGAGGATAAATTCGCCTCATACAAGGAATGAGATATTCGTTTAACCTGCTTCGTCATTTTCTACGAACACATAATAGTGAATTAATTCGGGATACCTGAGTATCTTGTCTTGCTATTTATTCTTAAAATATTAAGATATTTTTTTTCACGCATTAAACGAATATACAAGAGCGTACTTACAGCGAATAGATCGGCCGAAAGATACTCCAAATTAACATTATCTGGATCAGTCAGTAATCTGTATAACGTAGAACCGCGATTATCTGGTATTTGCTGCAGATCTTTGACCGCTTGATTTTTACTTAATGTTAGTACCAATGTATCCAAACGTCCCAATTCCAGTATTGCGTTACCGATTTTATATTCTGAATCTTGAAATACGTGTATATCCAATAGTTTTGTGATATATCTTTCTCTACAAAACAAAACAATTTTATAAAACATGAGCGTGAATGTATCATAGATTGCAAATTTTATAACAGTTACCTAACTGATGCAGACAACTCAGGAATGTCGTAATTATCATCAGGTCCTAAATCTATTTCCGTTGTTGAGTTCCAAGCTAAACCAGCCGCTATTAAATAACCGATCCACGCGAAAGGATGCGGGGTAAGATGATGACTTCCCGACCAATGTGCGACAACAACACCGATCGAGTTTTGCTCCAAAGAGGTTTTTATCGCATTTCTTGTGTTAGCATATGTCGATGCTGGACATCCGGCCAAACTATTGTAACTAGCTGTGCCAGAACTTGGTAATACATTACCACCAGCTAGTCTAAATGGCTCTGTCCATTCGGAGAAATCATAATCAGCCTGTAATATTCGGATATTTATAGTAAATTTTATTTCAATAAATTGTTCCTGCGAGTATATCATACAAAATTGAAGGAAGAAATTTAACTCTCACCTGAAATCCATATTCGACAAATATGATATTAGTAGGAATATTGTGAAACTCGGATTTGGAATGTAAACTGTTAGAACATAAAAGTAGAGTCGTGTTCGAGCTCAAATTGAGGATATGCCAGAGTTCTTGAAGGCACGAGTAAGACTTGAATACTTCCGACATGTCCGTTTCAAGCGTATCGTTGACAGACACATTCAAATCAAAGCTATCAGCTTGCACTAATAAAGTGGTTAATCGAGGGCCTACGTGAACATAATTTAAGCTAGGAAATACTGCGAGCAAGTCTTGAAAGATAGGCCACATTTGCATCAGGTGATGTTGGCTGACATTAGAATCGACGTCCAACGTTGGAACTATGTCCAAATGACGATCTCTGAAAAAGTTAATTTCCAAATTACGTAACATAAAAAAGAGTGATGTTATAAATAATACAGTTCATAAAAAATCGGAAATCTTTTATTTAAAAAGTGAATTCTCAGAATTATATAAATATGTAATTTGTACCTGCAATATCTGTCCAGAGTTACCATTTCGGATTTGGAATAACAAAGCTGCCAGTCGCAATTTTGAACGAGCCTGGAGTAGAGGTGCAAATGCGAGATCTTAAACGATGAGAGTAGATCAATAATATGTAAAAGATATTCCAAGGTCGGTACGCGTCCTCTAGGCGAGATGTCCAACAGTATACCGCGATGTGTGAATCTCGGTTCGTCTTTGATGAAGACAGGCTCTATCTCGCACACTTCCGACCTACTCTGATTCTTACTCAGACGCAGAATTTGCACGAATGTGCAGACCGCATAATGCAGCCCCGCTAGACTTCCAGCGCTTACTTTTATGGAGTTATGCGTAATATGCAATTGATAACTATCAGCAATGTTAAACAGATTCCTATTCACAATGCATTCAATTGTATTATCATTGAGCAACTTGCCGCAACTAGGTTGCACTTCGCCGATCTTTACATCATGACCCAATTCTAGCAGATGAGTCCTGCTGATCTCCCACACATCCAGTATTTTATGTACAGATTCACTGCCCTATAAAAATAATTTGGAACCACAATGAGAATTTATATGTAAAATTGAGGGAATTCCTTCTCAACAGAAATGTGATTCAAAAGATTTTCTATATGTTTGAGAAACATCAATGTACATACGTACACCTAAATATTACCTGTATTATTGATATAAGAAGCTCTTTTCCAGCGATAAATGGGGCCGTAAAATTTTTTAGTTCGTTTATAGTCTTTGGCTGTGGCCATAACAAGTTATAAATACTTCCTTTATCAATAATAGATTTACTAGGACTCTCTTTGCCCGCGTCACGCGAAGGCACATCGTATGCTGGATCCGACGACTTGTTAGATTCGACTGACAGTTGGCTCATATTGCACGTGAGACCCTTCTGGCAATAGCTTGTATCTGGGTACGACATAGTAGCACTGTGTATTGTTTCGTTCTCGTTCAGCATAAAATTTGATATAAATCTTTGAAGGAAACAATGTAGAGATTGTTTCTTTCTAGATAATTCGTACGGCGTTTTCCCCGCAAATGTTCTGAAAAAAAAAAAAAAATAGAAAAAAGAAATGCTGTTTGATATGTTTGTACGCGCAAGAACAATAGTCTATTCATATTCGTATAATTAATCGCTCACCCTTTGGTAGCTCGTACAAGAGGATTTGCACCAGCCTGCAATAGTTCTTGACAGATAGCAATGTCACCACGATTCACTGCATCATGTAATGGCGTAGCGCCACAACCATTCTCGGCGTTTACATCGGCTCCTTTATCTACATGGAAATGGTAACATGAACATTATTTTCAGATGCTGATTATACATTTTTTATTGCTGACCTAGAATGTATTATAGTTTTCCTTCTTGTTTTTTCTAAATATCGAACATATACCTATTTAACTTTAAGTGCAAACACTCTGTGTATACATTACCAAGTAAACACGCGATAATGTGTTTGTTTCCATAACATGCTGCCCAATGCAACGGTGTGTTCTTACTGCCCTGCGAGTCCCATGAATTAACATCCAATCCTGCATCCAATAACTGCACTACTCTATCTACTCTGTAAAAAGATACATGTAAATTGTTCTGTGATGCTAATCGATATGATTAAAGTGATAGTTATATTCCACAATTGAAAAAAAGCAATCCTAAAGTTGAATGTTGATATTTACGTACTCAGAAGCAGCTGTTGCTGTCAACATTTCCTCTATATAGATACGTCGTATTGCATCACTCGAGGCAACATCTATCGCATTATGTCCATCAGCATTTTGCACAGCTGGATCAGCACCACAATTCAGAAGAGTTCTCACAATGTCCGCTTGGTTAGTCTTAAATATAAACAGCATAAATAGAAATATTTATCAATAATCCAAATAGAAACATTTAAAGACAATGAAAATTGGAATAACAATAGATAAAACACGTCTGGAAAAGTACTTTACGGACCTTTGAGGCATATAACAAGAAAGTTCCTTCCTCCAAAACCGGTTGATTCAATATCTTGTCTCTCGTGATACCCTCTGTGGCATTACCGTTCTCACCTGTGGCAGAGGAAGATCGACAATATAAACAACGAAAAACGAAGGACGTTCTTATCCAGCCCACTTAATTTATTATCCTAATACACGAGAAGTTTGCGCAAGATTTGAAACTAGAAAAGAAAGGATACGTACACGCATCCAGGAGCGACCTGATAATGTCAGTACGTCCGTGTTCGATCGCTGTGCGAATATTATCGCAGATGCCTTGCATCTCTGTTCTGGTTCAGCCTGCAGCTCGGAGCGAGATGGGTCAGACCGGCGTGTCGCCAGGCATCATCGGGCTGTCATTCCGTTATCAACTGTCAGAGAGATTCGCGCCGGTCGTATTGCCGATCTCCCGCGACTCCTGCACGACATAGCAATCGCAGAGTTGCCAGATCTCTTCTTCTTTTTTTTCTCTTATTTTGCCAAGTCTCCTGCCATTTCGCAGACGTCAGGGAGAAACCTGAAAGCGATAATCAAACTTTTTTCGCGAAAAAAAAAAACACCAGAAAAAACCCTGTATTACACTAATGGCACCAACATCTATTTCATAAAATAAATATGAATCTTCGTATGTATTTCCAATATTGTTGATAAAATCGTAGTTTAAAAATCGTAATTTAGACCGTTTAGACTTTAGAAAATGAATGTGATGCGTGTCCGTGCTAAAAGATCTGTTCGCGTTTCATGCTCCAACATGGGTAGGAGCATATTGGAGTATGCGACGCGAACAGACCTAATGAGAGCTATCACCAGGATTGGCTATTTGTGGACAAAATGAGGGAGAATTCGGTCACGTGATTATTTATCACTAAAAAAAATAAAGGTCTGTTCTTTTTCTACCCCCAATTCTGAACTGGTTAAAGTGAGATAGGTATAGTTTGTTTGTTTATAATTCTTCAAAAAAGAACAGACCTTAAGTGTAGAGCATGAAAAAGCATCTTCAGCATCACTGCATTGTTCTTGGTGTTGGTCAGTGTTGGTGCTGCATCGGTAACCTTAGATTTCAGGTAACCTTTTGTCAACAACCTTTGTATGTCTCGTTACAAGTTGTTCTGGATTTCAATCAATTTCGATGTATGAAACGGATAAAAGAGAGAGTGTCTTCGTAGAGATTCACGAGCTTTGGGAGTCGAGAAGAAGCCGAGAAGTTTAAGATTAAATACCGGAGAGAGAGACCGTACTGAGAATCTAGTTGATCCTCTGATTCGAATTGATTCATTCAATTATGATAGCCATGGATCTGTTGTTCGGAATACAGATAAATTCTGAGATTGTCATGCCGATTACGTTGAGTGGCGTGAACCTGAAGACGAAAGTGGAGGCACTGAAACAAGAAGCCGCGAAAAGGTGGAATCTGCCTAAGGATTCGTTTGGTAAAAGTGACTTTACACTATTTAGAGATTGGTCTTTGTCGCGATTATTTTTGTACTCTTTTGTTATTCAATCCTATAAAATTTAACAGATCAGATGTTCTTTGATTTCTTATATATTTGAAATATACATCAAAACATTTAGACTGTCAAAAATCTTTATTAGATTAGCTTTATTTTCCTTGATAAATTAGTCATGTTTTCAATTTTTAGTGGATAGCCTTATTTTTTATCTTTTTTTAAAGAAAAGTTCAATTCTAATTTTTTTAAAAAATATGATTACAGTTCAAGCTTTTTGAAATAATTCCATGTAGAATAAATTCAACTTTAGTACAAACATAATACTAATGATTATCTCTCTTTTTCTTTAGAATTTATTTATTATGGGCTTATACTTGAGGATAATGCAACAGTGGAGTCTATTGGATTAAAGAATGGATCAATGGTGCATGCACTAAAAAAAAAAGAGCCAGAGCCTTCAGTATTGAATAAACATGTATCAGAAAATTGCATATTACAACTGGTATCTGCATTTAAATCTTTCAATTTGACCCCTGCATTTAGAAGTGCTTTGGATGTAAATATTTTTTAAATGTTTATGTTGTGTGACATATACTATATATACACTATTATATCCTGTGTAAAAAATACATGGAATATATCTTTAATTATAATTATCAAGTATTATTACAGAAAAACATTATGATATGTTTCAGCGTTTAAGCAAAAGACCAGAGGTGATAGATAATATTATTTCATCCTCTCCTGGATTGCACGAAGATGCAGTTGCCATTGCCATGTTGCAGGATCCCGAATTAATGGCGCATTTTGTAGATGTTGATACTGTTAGAAGGTAATTAGATGTATGATCTTCTAAATGTGTATTACCTCAGAAATATTACGCAAGTAGCATATTTTTCAAAACATACATTTTTACCTCATATGTTTTTAGTATGAACATGGATTTAAAGATTTTTTTATTGTCTCACATTTAGAATAGCACAGTTGCATCCAGTGTTAATCGAGGCAGCACAGAACATCGCAGCAGCTGTGCACGAGGAAGCGCACAATGCGGCCTCCAGCGGCTCCTCCAGCAGTTCAGTGACCAGTTCACAGCCTACTACCGCACGTTCCTATAGCGTGGATAGCATGAGCCTCGAGGAGGAAATGGCGCGCGATATTGCCCACTTTTTCGCCACGCAGCCTATAAACGACAGTAATCTACGTTTTCCCAACGTGTCGCCGGCTACGAATTCACAGGCATCGCAGCGACTGGATAATTTGCCGTCCTCCACATCCGACGGTGCCAATCAACCCGCAACCGACAATCAGAGCACCGGCGTGATCACGCCACAGATGTTCATGGAAGCTATGAGACAAGCCGCATTGGCGACCAATTCAAATCCGCAGCAGCCAGCCGCGTCGCCGGCGACCTCCTTGTCGCCGGTATTACCGCTATTCTCACCGCCGATTAATGATCTGCAGCGGCAGTTGGCACAGATGCATGAGATGGGTCTTCAAGACGACACAATAAACATTCAGGCATTGCAATTTACCAATGGTGACGTGCAAGCAGCCATCGAACTTGTGTTTAGTGGTTTTTATGATAATTAATGGACTAAGAACGATGGGACGAGGTAATATAAGTGATTGCAGTATTTGTACAAATGTTTCAGAAAATAGTGTTTTCCAGATGAGTCAGCCTGAATATCCACGACACATGTTCTCAATTTGTAACATACGTTGATGCTGAGTATTACTGAGTCATACAGAATGTGTTCAAGATGTGAAATTTACTGTTTGAGGGAGACTTTTTTATATGATTTTTGAGGTGCATTGTTTACATTAAAATAGCAAAATCTGCGAAACTTCGTGTTTCAAGAGTTATAAAGACTATTATTCTAATTTATTAGAATGCAGTACGATGTACTTTGTTATTAACATCTACGCAATATATATATATATATATATATATATATATAAAGAAAATAGACGTTATGTATATATTAAGAAAACTGTATTTAGTGAAATGCTACACTTGCTAAATATATATAATGTATGAATTTTTATATCTCTGACAATTTTACATTTATGATGATTGCTCAAACAAAAACGCGACTTTTATTTCTTCTATGTAACGTTCTTGTGCCGTTATAATATGAATGAAGTAAAACGTTCGGACATATCACATATGCTGTAGTTATCTACAAATTTTTTAACCTTTTTAATTACTGATACATGATTTATGGAACTGTTATCTCGTCTTTTTCACGCGCGCCTGTATATAGATAATCGATTTTACATAGCATAATAAATTATACGAAGTCATCAGAGGTTCAATCAAAGTTTAACATACTTCATTAAAAATCAATGCAAATATATATGCATATGTACATGTATGACTGATTAGATTTCTTTCTTCCTCTCTCTCTCTCTCTCTCTCTCTCTCTCTCTCTCTGTCTCTTTCTGTAACATTAATGTGACCATTTTTTTTATAGCATTGGATATTATTGTCAATTTAAGTTTTTGTCAAACAATTGTATGTGCATACATACATAAGAAAATTTCGCTTCACAGAGTTGCAATTTAAGATTTAAAATTGTGATAAAAACTTTTGTTCACACATACACACACAGCACATGCGAGCCACGTGGAATGACGCTTTAATATGTAGATGCATCAGTGCCGAATGCTCGGATTAAATGCGTCACATGCGTGTCGGCAGTGGTGTAGCACGGTTAACGAAATCGAATGCGTCGCGAAAAAACCTACACACAATCACGCGTAAGTGTCACATCTTTAAGTATCCAGTCATCGTTTGAGAATCTTTAAGATCTTAAGTGACGTTATACGTGACGTCAAATTAAGATTAATCTGATTAGTCAGATGAGATCTAAGAACAATTAAATCTCGGGAAATATGTAATTCTGAAAATTTATTAAATTGTGATATCGGTAATAGTTATCTAAAATATTAATAATAATTTTATTTATTTCTACAGGATGTATGTAAAAAATGATTACATGAAAAATTGATAAGATATATGTATATTTGTTGTACATTTATTCAAAAATAAATATATTATACATGTAATATATTTATTTATTGCCACTTGGGAAGCGAATTCTACACAAGTAAAAAATTCACCACAGAAATGATTTCAACATATTTAAAAATAATTTGTACAAAGAATATTTTTTTGGCGTGATTTTCAAATAATTGACAATTACATTTTTTGGAAATTGGGATTAGTTTACGGAAGTTTGTTCTAACTGTATATATTTGCACCGCCTACCTAATTTTATATATAGTACTTTAAATTGTACAATGGCTATTGTATTCAGCAGAGAAAGCAGCTTTGCAATTGTGTAAAATTCTTCAATATAATTGGTTTATACATTTAGATCCAGTGAGAAACTAAGGATAAGACCAACCATACTCTCTAAATTCTTTAGAAGTGAAATCTCACTCTAAAGAGTAAAAATTGAACGAGTCTTAGAAAGAGTAGCTCAATTTTTAATCTTTAAGAATGAGATTTCACTTTTTACAGTGAGATTTACTTTAAGAGAGTAATAAAGGATTTTATAACAGTGGAAAAATTGCTTTATTTGTTGAACCAAGAAGTTAGATATCTTATGCCCATAATCAGGTCTTATATTTAAGCATTTAAAAATGACCTTAAGACTTTCTTAAGTCCATCTTTAGATACTCTGCAGTCAATAAAATAATTCGTGGAGTATCTGAAGATAAATTTGCGGAAGCGTTAAATATATATATCTATATATTTATATATCTATATATATGGCTGACTCGGGGAACTGATGTGAATATGGGTGGCAGAATTCAGATAATAGGGAGTTTTTGCAATAACATAGCTCCAGATACGGCGAATGTTAAAGTCACTAAAGTCATCCTTTTCTTAATTGGTTATTAAAAAGAAGATAACGCGACCTTAGCGTTCATCGTTTACAGTGTTTACACAAATTGTATTGCAAAAACTCCCAGATAGCACAGAGAGTTCAAAAAGAATTAAAGAAGAATTCAGTTATGTCATCAATTTCGAATTTATTATCAGATACACAAAAAGTATTCTTTT